TGTACAACCACCTCACAACCAATGCTACACTGACCAGGGAAAAGCTGAAAGCGTTTACTCTTACATAAGACACAAATGTCCACTTTGTCCACTTTTATTCACTGTAGTATCAGAAGTATCAGAAAGAGTAATTAGGGAATAGAAAGAAAGAAAAGGTGTCAGAATTGGAAATAAAGGAGTCAAAATGGCAATGTTTACAGATGATATGATTGTACACATGGAAAAACCTAAACATTCCACCACAAACGTGTTCAAATTGATAAACCAATTCAATAAAGTCAAGAGAAAAATCACCATACAAAAAATAGTAGTAATTTTATACCCAGTAATGATCTTTTTGAAAGAGAAATCAGTAAAGAAATCCCATTCACAATAGCTACAAAAATGTAAATATTTAGGAATAAATTTAACCAAAGAAGTGAAAAATTTCTAAAAATAAAATTATAAGACACCAATGACAGAAATTATCAAAGAGTTGGAAAATGGAAAGATATACCTTGCTTTTGTGCTAAAAGAATCAGCATTGTTAAAATCTACAGCAATCTATAGATTCAGTACAATCTCCCATTAAAATACTGATGGATTCTTTATTAAATTAGAAAAAACTATTCTAAAATGTATATGCAATTACAAAGATCCAGAATAGCCAGTGATCCTGAGCAAAAATATCAAACTGGATGCATGTTCAAAGCATACTACAAAGCTGTAGTCACTGAAAAGTGACATACTGGCATAAAAACCAACACAGAGTCCAATGGAACAGAAGAGAGAACCCAGAAATTAGTCCATGAGCATACACAGCCTACTGACTTTTGACAAAAATACCAAGAACACACCCTGGAGAAAGGAGAGTCTTTTCAATAAATGGTGCTGGCAAAACTGGATACGCCTGTGTAGAAGAGTGAACTTAGACCCCTGTTGGTCATCATATAGAAAGGTCAACTCAGGATGGATCAAAGACCTAAATGGAAGACTGGAAACTACGAAATTGCTAAAAGAAAACATAGAGGAAACACGTCAAGATACTGATGTAGACAATGGTGTTTTTCAGAGAAGACCCCAGGATTTCAAAAAACTTAACAAGTGAAAAACAACCAATCCAGTTAAGAAATGGGCAAAGGAACTGAATAGACAGTTCTCATAAAAAAGAAATAAAATTGCCAACAATATATGAAAAAATTCTCAATATCACTAGCCATTGGGGAAATGCAAATCAAAACCACAATGAGATAACGCTTCACCCTTGTCTGAATGGCTTCCATCAGAAAGAGAGAGAGTAATGGATGCTGGCAAGGACATGAAGAAGAGGGAACACTCACATACCATCGGTGGGAATACAGATCACTACAGCACTGTGGAAAACAGCAGGGAGATTTGGAACTGCCAAACATAGAATGAATATACCTAGTAGTGGGATTGCTATTAGAGAGAGAAACTGCTCCACCATGTTTATACAGCACTGCTCACAATAGCCAAGACAGCGGATCAACGACGTCCATCATCACACGAATGGGTGAAGAAAAGTGATATATACACATGCGTGTGCATCCACGTCTGTAAAAAGGGATGGAATCCTGCCACTTGCAGCAACATGGACAGAGCTGCAGGACATCGCTTAAGTGAAACAAGTCAAGCACAGACAGACCACATGCTCTCCTGTGGGTAGGAGCTTTAAACAAAACTCAGGATAAACACAAAATTACAATTACTGGAGGCTGGGGCATGGGAGGGACAGACAGAATTTGGATTACGACAATAGGGGAAGCCGGGCATGGTTCGTTTATAGTGACAAATATTTCATACCAACCTAAGGTGCTAATAATAAGGCAAGCTGGGAGTGGGGCACAGGGAACTCTTTGTACTACTTCACAATGTTGGTTAATCAATTTAAAACTATCCAGAAACAACAAGTTTAGTTTTAATACAAAAATATTTATCAAAATAGGGGCCAGTGCTGTGGCTCAGTGGGTTAACGCCCTGGCCTGTGTTGCTGGCATCCCATATGGGCACTGGTTCTAGTCCCGGCTGCTCCACTTCCAATCCAGCTCTCTGCTGGAAGGCAGTGGAGGACGGCCCAAGTCCTTGGGCCCCTGCACCTGCGTGGGAGACCAGGGGGATGCTCCTGGCTCCTGGCTCCTGGCTTCAGATCGGTGCAGCTCTGGCCGTTGCGGCCATCTGGGGAGTGAACCAGCAGATGGAAGCCCTCTCTCTCTCTCTCTGTCTCTACCTCTCTCTGTAACTCTTTCAAATAAATAAAATAAATATTAAATATATATATTTATCAAAATAGAAAACTTCATAGGTTAAGAATTAAGTTGTACATCTGAAAAGTCAACTAAAATGGCTAAAAGTTAATATTTTATGTGAAGAACTCATTCGTACAGGAAAGAATTAAAAACGGTACAAAGGCGAAATGGGATCCCAGAATTCACAAATTAGAAATTAAAGAAATACTGAGATGTTGAGCTCTGAAAGCCAGGGCCACAGGAACGGGACACGGTTTCTTCTTGGAAAACACTGCTAGGTCGGGGCTCTCGACTGGAGAGGGCTCAGGTCATGGCCCGCAGAGCCGGGTTCTGCAGGAACTGATTCTGGGGCGAGTCCGCCCACAGGGGAGGCCCCATGGCCCCGTCCCAGCTCACGGCCCCGGCTCCTCTGCCTCCAGGGCGCCCGAGCGGGGGCTGGTGCAGCCTGGTCAGAGCCCAGAGGGAGGCTCGCTGGGGTGCAGCAGCCCGGAGCGCGCTTTTTCCTCCCCTTTTCTTTTTCTTTAGCCCCAACAACACTACCAAAAATTTCTCCTGGTTCTTGGCGGAAATCAAGTCAATCTCTTCTCTAAGTTTTCCAGTACTGACGTCAAAGCTGAGTTTTTTTATTTCTTAGTATTTAAATTTCCCAACAGAGCAGAACATGAAGTGCCCCCATATGCCTGCTGTTTTCACACAGTACCTCCCACACAGCGGCCTGATTCAGCATAGACAAAGCTTCAGCCCAGAACAGTCCCAACACGGGGCTTGTGGTTTCCATTTCTGATGTCCCCGGCACCGGCACCCCTAAGCCATGAGACCCACGTGGGGCACTGAGCAACCATAACAATCCCAGTCTTTATAAAATGTGTTCACACAAACATGAGATAAACTTCTGGGATAGTTTTTAAAAAAAGAATATACTGCTGATGTCAAAGTGAATTCATACAAACTTATTAGAAAATAAGAATATTGGAGCAGATGCTATGGCTTAGCGGGTAAAGCCGCCGCCTGCAGTGCCGGCATCCCATATGGGTGCCAGTTCCAGTCCCAGCTGCTCCACTTCCAATCCAGCTCTCTCTGCTGTGGCCTGGGAAAGCAGCAGAAGATGGCCCAAGTCCTTGGGCCCCTGCACCTGTGTGGGAGACCTAGAAGTAGCTCCTGGCTCCTGGCTTCAGATTGGCATAGCTCCGGCCATTGCAGCAAATTGGGGAGTGAACCAGTGGATGGAAGACCTCTGTCTGTCTCTCTCTCTCTCGCTCTCCTTCTCTCTCTGTGTAACTCTGGCTTTCAAATAAATAAATAAATTTTAAAAAAAATAAGAATATTTATACACTTTATCATATCCATGTGTGTGCACATATATATAAGTATAGAATACCCTTGATCTAGGAAACCCATTTCTAAGAATCTGAGGATGTAATGATTTAAAATAAATTTATGCAAAAAATGCCTGTGACAATACTATTTTTTTCTGTTTTTACATTTATGTTAAAAATGTTTATTTTAATTAATTGGTTTTTAACAGATTCAGTGAGTTTTGTGGACACAATTCTAAGAACATAATGGTATTCCCTTCCTCCCTCTCTCCTGCCCTCCTGCTCTCTCCCTCACACCCTCTTCCTTCTCCCTTTCTGTCTTCTTTTAGTTTTTGAAATAACATATTTTAAATTTACATTATAGTAAAAAGGCTTAATACATCACTGAATAAGAATTGGAACAGTAAAAAGCAAAACACTCTTAGTTTAGTGGGAATATGGACAACGCTATAAACAATCATTGAATGGGAAAAAATGATCATTTAACTCATGTATGGTAAATTTTTTAAAGATCACAGGTCATTAAAACTGTAGTAGTGGCTGGCGCCGCGGCTCACTAGGCTAATCCTCCGCCTTGCGGCGCCGGCACACCGGGTTCTAGTCCCGGTCGGGGCGCCGGATTCTGTCCCGGTTGCCCCTCTTCCAGGCCAGCCCTCTGCTGTGGCCAGGGAGTGCAGTGGAGGATGGCCCAGGTGCTTGGGCCCTGCACCCCATGGGAGACCAGGAGAAGCACCTGGCTCCTGGCTCCTGCCATCGGATCAGCGCGGTGCGCCGGCCGCAGCGCGCTGGCCGCGGCGGCCATTGGAGGGTGAACCAATGGCAAAGGAAGACCTTTCTCTCTGTCTCTCTCTCTCACTGTCCACTCTGCCTGTCAAAAAAAAAAAAAAAAAAAAAACTGTAGTAGTATAACATGCTAAACCGCTGGTTTCACAAAGGTGTAAATCCAAGTTTTACAGAGCTGTATTTGCATCAGTGGTGATACACAGATATTTCTTTCTTTTTTCAAACTTCTACCTTATTTTTTTTATATGTGGGAGCTAAAATTTCATAAAAGCAAACAAAGAAAAGAATGACAATGCTGTCTACAACAGTCAAATACCAGAGTGGTTAAGTAAGTTATGGTTTGGCCACCCGGCAGCATATTACCTAGCCATCAAAACGGATGTCTAAGTACGAAGAAAATCTGTTACGACCTAGACACAGAATGGCACGTGTGCTGTGATCTGCTAATGCAAGTGCAAAAGCTCTTTAAGACGGTTAGGAGAAATATGTGCAAGGTATGAGCGGCTCTGCCAGCCTTTGTGTCGGGAAGCTGGGCTCACGCTCTCACTGCCTTTGTCTCTCTCTCTCTCTCTCTCTCTCTCTCTCTCTCTCAACTCTAATGTCATCGCAACCCTTTATTCGTTCAAAGGTGACCCGGGGGGGTGACAGCACTCACTCGGCGGTGTCGGGCACTGTGCTGTTGCTGTCCTTCACGCGACCTCTCGCCATGAACACGCAGTTGATGACCACGGTGCTGATGATGAGCATGCTGAACACCGTGCGCCACGCCGGTTAAGGCAGAAGCTCCGCAGGAGGGCGCCCGCACGCAGACTTGCAGGGGCCTGGTCCTCTCTGGCTGGCTCAGGCCTGCGGAACGCTGGCCTCCAGCTTGGGAGTTAGGATGACGGTGAGGCAGTCCGTACCTGGAGCTCGCCGTGGGCCCAGGCTGAAGCTGACTCTGGGACCGCCGCCTGCTCAGCTCCGGCTTTGCCCTGTCTGCCTCCCCCTTTCCGCCCCGGGGACCACTCCTCTGTTAGTTCACTTACGCAGGAATCCCAGCTCAGACTTGTGTCTGCAAAACCTAACCTAAACTGCTGCTGCCCTCAGCATTCTGTCTACAAATCCATCTATTGCACCTTCCCTTGTCAAAAATGGTGTAGCGTCTCCCCCACCCACTGCACACACCAGACAAGCTTAATAACGCCTACCTGTATTTGCATTGGAAAACTTAAGTTTCAAACGCTGACTTTCAGGAGCTTGGCAAGTCATAGAAACGTGTGACAGGGGCTGTTGCTGAGCCACAGGGAGGGTGCCGACGTGGTTCAACAGAACTTGCAGGTTCCTTCTAAGAGAGGCAGCCGTCTCTCTCTTTGCCAGGTAGGAATGAGGCCTGGCTTGTCATAGGCCCCCCTTTTTTTTTTTTTTTTTTTTTTTTTTTTTTTTTGAGAACCTGGAAATCTAGACTGTCTATGATAGAAATTGTTGCCAAAAGTTTTAAACACTGAGCAGGCCTAACGCAATGAGGTGTACAGGTTGCCAGTTTACAACCGTTGCCCCCAACATGCTATCCTGGCGCCTGCAATACCTCTCTGTGCTGTCACTTCCACACCACGATACCACTGACCTCTCTGCAGGAATCGCTCACCGTTTGGTCTAATTCTGAAGGTGAGAGCCTGGAGGAGCAGCCACGCCTTGCTCACAGCCAGCACCCAGCTCGAGACCTGCCTCACAGCAGCAGCACGGGGCCAGTGTTTGTTGAAAGCATGAACTATTGCTCCCACTCGCTCAACATGAACTCAGTAAACTCCCCAGGGTCTGTGCGCGTCTCGCCCAAGCTGGACTCAGGAAAAGGATATGAATGTACTGAGATTCTAATGGCTAAGCTTCTGATGGAACTGAAAGGCCCGAAGATGAACAGTGCCCGCTTGGCACTAAAGCGGTAGATGGTTCTCTTTTTGTTCAACACCATAAATGTCTGAAAAACAACAACAAGAATTAAATTCAGTGACAAAACAACATTTATCATGAGTTCATCTAGAGAAAACTGAGTGGAACCAGGGCTTGAGGTGTGGCTTGGCCCTATGAGAAATGCAGCCACTGATTACAGGGCTATCATCCTGCACCCCAAGGGGCACCTGACCTTCTGAGCACCTCCTGGGACTCTGACAGCTAACAAACTCTCACCCACACTTTGGGGTACTCTGGAGGGACCAGAGATGCAGAACGTGTACTCCGAAAATGCAGGCAGTGGGGGTATACAGTAACAACCAGGGCAAACAAAGCTCTTCATTCTGAACTTCAGGAGGTGCACCTGTAGGGACAAGCACCACAAGGAACTGGAAGAGATGGAAATGGAGCTTGCACATCCACATTCAGCAGATATTTTAAGTTAGTTTTATTGAGGATGAAGGGGTCAGCGCTGTAGCGTAGTAGGCTGAGCCTCCGCCTGCAGTACTGGCATCCCATATGGGCGTCGGTTCGAGTCCTGGCTGCTCCACTTCCCATCCAGCTCTCTGCGGTGGCTTGGGAAAGCAGTGGAAGATGCCCAAGACCTTGGGGCCTTGCACCCACGTGGGAGACCCAGAAGAAGCTCCTGGGTTCAGATCAGCACAGCTCCAGCCGGTGTGGCCATTTGGGGAGTGAACCAGCAGGTGGAAGATTGATATATCTCTCTCTCTGTAACTCTGCCTCTCAAATAAATAAAATAAATCCTTACAAAAATGTGGATGAAAACTTTGTAGTGAGTCTTGGAATAGTAAAGGAGCTAGAGAGTCCATCTGGTCACGCCACAGGTTGGACCAGTTCTACAGGAAATGACCCGTCAACTTTAACCTTGAGGACCTTCAAGAGACGCAGCACCAGATTCGAGTCCTACTCTCCATTCCTCCCATGCACACAGGGTAACTACGCCTACTGAGGGCGCGTGGGAATAGGTGGGAGTGTTTTGGGTTGTCTGCCACAAAGACTCTCCAGTGCTCTTTAGTGGGTGGGGCCAGATGCCAGATGACAGAGGACAGATCTGCCAGCCAGTGCCGTGGCTGCCCACAGTGCCCGGGGTCTCACTGAAGAACCTGAGCCCGTTTCCCCTAGCACTCCACCCTGGGCTCCATGAAGGAAGCAGTCCACAGGCCATAGCCTATCACCTACAGCCTTCTAACACCAGACCCCTCTCGCTCTGTGTCTCTGTGACCTGGCCGTCCCCTCTGCTGCTCAGAGGCCTTCAGAGTGAGCGTCGGTCCTGTCTCCGCACCTGTCTGCTCCTTTCAGATCTGTGAAAAGCACTGTGTGACCACGCAGCCCCGCAAGTTCCCAGACAGCAAGGAGGACGGCAGGGCAGGTGCTGCCTCGACCCAGCCCAGCTCAAGCCACTGCCGGCCACCTGCCTTCCTTCCATGAGTTGCTGCAACTTACTGGCCTGGGGCTGTCTGGCTGCAGAGATAGCTGCGAATCCCAGTGTTTTCCTGTAGCTCCACAGCCCCGTGAAACGGGGGGGGCTTTTAAGCCTTGAGCCCAGGAGGCCACGACCTTCTCTGGAGCTTCTACGCCTTTCCTGTGAATAAATGAGCATTTTGGAAGGGGCATCAGCCCAGAGGAATGGGTGGCGTGGTATCTCTCTGCTTGTCTGTCCTTTGCTGCTGATATCGTATTGATGTCTTTTTCTATTGCTTTAAATATTCTTAGTGGTGTCTTTAACGACACCTGCCAGGGCTCACTGACTGCTCCTGCTTCCCAGTACAGCTCCAATCCCCCCGCCCCCGGCACTCTTCAGAAGGGGAGCTGAGCTGCGGAAGACAGGAAGCGGCCTGTGACTGTAGAGTCTGAACCCCAGACCCACCACGTATTGGCTGTTTGGGCATAAGCACTGCCCTGTCCAGGCTTGAGTTTCCTCCTCCGTAATGTGGAGCCCCCTGGTGACAACACCACGCACCTCGCGTGGCTGCTGGAGGAGCAAAGCGAGTGTCCTGTTCTGCGAGTTACAGGGAGGACCCAGGCAGGGGAGAGTTCCTAGGGTATCCACCCAGGCTGGAAGGAAGCCGGACCTCCCAGGACTGAGCTGCTGCCTGCCTCCTGAGTCTCCTGTCAGCATCGAGGCAGACGGTCTCTTCTGGGTAACTCGCTTCTAGCAACTGCGCCTCCAAGAAGCCCCAGAGTTCTGGGGCACAAGGAGAAGGGGGGACACTGCAGAGTTCCCACCGTTCCTCTCTCTTCCCCTTGCTTGTCCTTTCCACCTACACTCATTGTCCTCTAGAAACCCAGTCCTATTTGGCCGGGCAATCTTGAGCATATCCCAAGTAAAGGTCATGCAAACCAGGCAACCTTTCTGGGGGAGCTCAGTCTCTCACGGGGATTCTCAGCATCTCCTGACTTCTAGGCCTGCCCCACGCTCCCGGCCTCCTTCCTCTGCAGCCTTAGTCTGGCAAGGTGGATTTCCCATCTTTTGCTAGGTGGCACAGTGAAGCGATGATGATGGCCAGGTCTTCCGAGCCATTCCTAAAGGAGCAGTCCTCAGGGGCTGCCCCACAGCTGCCCAAGGAGCCTGGAGTTCCCATTCTCTCACTCAGAGGCCCTTTGACGGAACTTCGCTGGACCATTCTATAGGGACCGCATTGGGGTAGATGGAATACCAAGGTTTTTACATGTCTGTATGAGGTTTTCACTGGGGCTGCACGTGCATACTTGATTCTCATTTCCTTTGTTAAATTCCTGCCATGTGTCAAGCATTGGTTTGACCTTAATTAATCTTATTTAATATTCTAGAAAGCTTATTGTCCAAGAATTTTTCAACACAAAATTTAGTTGCTGAAATGGGCATTCCTGGACAGCGCTATGAATTCTTTCTGTCAATCAAATGCTTTATAGTTTAAAAAGTGTTTCCCTAGTCTGTGCTAGCTGTACGGTAGGAAAACCAGGCATCGTTCCAATTTTACAGTTAGGAAAGTGAGGATTTGCGAACGGCCTCTACCTGACTTGTCCGATGGCTAGTCCAGCCCTCTTTCCAGAGGCCATCTTGTATTTTCTTCACTCTCCTTTTAACCTTTCTGCTGCCCCTTGTTCTCATCTTCTCCCCCAACACGTGCATTACAGAGAAGATACAGACTGAACGGGGTTCTCGGGACGATGACGGGGTGATGACAAAGGAGAGGTACAGCCTGTCCTTCACAGCCCCGAGGCGGTGTTTGGAGAAGCTGTGAGCCCCAGTTTTAAAGTGACTAGCAGCGTCCACCCATCCTCCCCACCCCGCATGCTCATGGAAGTACCTTATGATTTCTGTAGAACGGGTCCAAGTCTTCCAGCGGCTTCCCTATCAGCTCAGGGGGAATGTTGCCATAGAGCTTAGGCAGCTTCCTGGAGGCCTTCAGGTCAAGCTGAGGCCGGGGTTGGGGCTCACCTCCTGCACCCCCTGTCTTGTCTCTGGATTTACTTTGCTCCTTTTGGATGATGAGCCGCTTCTCAATGGCAGCCAGAGAATCAGAAGTGAAGGGGCGGAAATTCTGCGCGTCTGGGAAGATCACGGGGTAGCACCTGTCGTCCATCTTCATCCCTGGGACAGAGATAAACTGCAGATCCTGGGACACTCCCAGGAGGTGGGGGCAACGCCGACTTCCCTGGGTGCTACTCACAGGATGGCGTCACGGGGTCTGCAAGAGCTGAAGCCGAGGTGAGGATGCAGAGCTCAGGGACTGTGAAGCAGAGCAGAAGAGGTGATCACCACGGTGGGGACAGCTGCGACTTCAGGCAGAGACAGTCCCAAGCAGGTCATCACCCCGAAGAATCTGGGGCAGGAGGGAAGCTGCAGGTGGGAACCAGTGATCAGAAGAAGTCGTGTCTAAGACTGAGACCCAAGCCTTGAGCCACTGAGCAAGACCGGCTGAACTCGCTGTACTGCTGACGGGGAGCCTGCAGGGGGCAGACAAGGGGCCAGGCCGTGTGGACACAGGGAAAGGAGTCAGGAATTGAGTGCTATGGGTCGCAGAAGCAAAACTGTAAGTGTGTGGGTCATTTCTCACATAGGATCAGTGAGGCTCTGAAAAGGGGAGAGGCTACAAGCAAAAGAGCCGTCAGCGCGGGCGACAGCGCCCACGATCCTCCGCCGGCTCTCTCGGCTCTGGACCCCGACCTGGCAGGTGAGATGTGCAGGAAGCACAAAGCATTTGCTGAAGCTGACAGGGTCGTGCTACCGCAGGACAACGGCTTCTGCAGGACTTCCTGCACAGACCCGGGATGAAAAACAGACCCTGAGAAAAAGGAGCAGGATTCGGGTGGGAGGCACGCGCCCCCTTTCTTACACACTGAGTACTAACCTGGGACTGTCTACCACAGCACTGCAGGGACTACAGGGACTTCTAACACAACCTTGTCAGGGGATTGCACTGCGTTCTTTCCTAAGAATCACTCAAGGTCAAGCTCATTATTAATGAGCCTGGAAGATGGAACTATGGGATTGTCGAAAGTATTTAACTCTCTCTCTCTCTCTCTCTCTCTCTCTCTCTCTCTCACACACACACACACATCACTCTCATAAACATACCTAATTGAATTTGTGAAATGAAGTGAGCAAATGATGAGACTCTATTGTATTTGGCTAGAGCTCCAGAAAGACACTGAAGACAGGGATTAGCTCATGTAAGGTCAACTGCACATGGGTACTAGTCAGTGCTACAGAACGGATGTGCTGAGAAGGACCCTGGATGGCAACGTCTGGACCTTCAGCTAAGTTTCAGCCAGGGCCCCAGCAGAGGGCTGCTGCCACAGAGCTGGCACTATCTGGAAGAAAGTAGATATTCTGACTTTGCCATTTGACCCTAAGGGATGTTCTTCCTGCATTCCTGGCAAAAATAAACAACACAGAATAAAATTGACAGTCCTGAAACTGCACACATCAGCGTTTGTTGTAGAAGATAAAACAGCACATCCTAGAGGTCACAATGAAAACTGCAAAAATTGACCTAGGGAAAAGAAGACCTTAGGGAATTGTCAGACAAATCTGGCAAAATAAAACCAGGCAGCAAAATTTTCTTATTAACTGAAAAAACTTGATAGGAGAAACAACCATTCTTAAGTGAAAGTAGCAGCAGGAAATAAAGACTACACACACAAAGTTAATAGAGCTGATAAATTAGCAGAAAATCAATTGGCATATACTATAATTGGTAAAATTTGGAATGACCCAAATCTTTAAAATATTTAATTCTGAAAAATTTCCGTACAGAAAATAGATTTCATTGCTAAAATTTATTCCAAGAATTAAATTGGCTAAGTGCAATTATTTCCTAAGTCATCCAATTAAGTGTGAAAGCAAAATTTTCAAACATTAAAGTGACTCTTTACAAAAAAATGATTCAAGTTTATGCTCTCAAGTAACGCACGAGGAATTTAAAAAGCAGGACTAATGGAATCTAAGACATAGTGTACTTAGTCCAAGAGCATAATAAACGTATTCCAGGTGGCTGCTCCTTAACAGACTTGAAAAACAATTGATCCAACTAGAATTAGAAGGCAGAGAACTCTGAGAAAAAAGCTTTAAATTTGAAGAAAATGCTGTGTAGCAAAGAATATGATTAAGAAACTGGATTTTCAGGAAGGAAAATATCCAGAAACTCCATCAAAAAAGACTCCTTAAAAGTCATGGTTTGCATATGAAGCCAACTCACTGGTCTGAGCACTGGCAGAACAGAGGAGAGAGAGCCCCCGACCCTGGCCTTGCCCCCTCTCCTTCCTGCAGCAGCAGGGCGGGGACACAGGGACCCTCCCCTTTCCTGGGATCCAAACACAACACCTGGTCTTGGAGACCAGAAGTTGTAAACTTTTGTGAAAATTTTGCCTATTAATTTTTAAAGTTAGTAGCAATCCTACAAAGCAGAATTTGTTTATAATTACAAAATTGAATGTGACTGTGTATAAACATAATTTTACTGCCACCTGAAGTTGATGAGAAAAGGCGGAGACAAGCTCACGGGCACCGGTTTCTTCCTCTTAAACACTCAGAGCCAAGATTTGCTGCGGAAAGTCGACAGATGAAGCAATAAAATGTGTCTACCCCCTGAAATTACACAGGTAATCAAGGGCTAAACCGCATCTACAACACAATGTACAAAAACTGGAAGAGCCTTGGGAAGGGCAGAGGGATTGTTGTCAGGACACAAAGTCTCCCCACACATAGGCACAATTCAGTAACTTCTACCTAAACTTGATAAATCAGGAAATAGTACAAACAAACTTAGAGAGAGAGTGACAACAGCAATTCAAAACGGAAACGTTTAGAAGTGACCCTGGTGTAGAGACGAAGGGGCAGACACGTCATTTTCATGCGGTGTCTCTCCCAGAATTTCCCCGTCCTGAGCTCCCCCAAATACGTGCAAGTGTTATTTTGGGAAAAGTCTGTCAAAACCCTTCAGAGTGTGGAAACCTCTTCTGGTGCAGAACGAGTCACAGCGCAGGCCCAGTGAGAGGCGCTTGGTCTCCTGGAGTCACAGAGGAAGTCGGCAGAGTCTCACCTGCAGTCCTGCACCAGGTGGCCAGCAAGGGGACTTGCGATTTGCCGTGGGGAACTTACAGAGGATGGGAGAACCAGGAGTGGCCATCGGCTGGACTTGCAAGGGAGGTCAACAGGGCTCCGTCCTGCTCCTACGGTCACAGCCTACTCCCAGCCAAAGAGGAAGCAGACGTTTGCCTAGGGAAGAGCCCTGGCCGTGAAGAGCAGGCCCCTGGGCCTCACTGCAAGTGGCAAGCTTCACAGGAGCGTGGAGGCCTGGATTGCTGGGGCCCGGGTGCTGAGAATGCAAGAGGACCCAGACACGGCCCAGTGCGCAAGGATCTCCCGGTCACATGAGGAACCAGGACCCCAGGGCTTTGCACTGGGTGCTACGGGGGCTCAGACAAGGGTCACACATCGCATGGCTGAGAGGATGGTGCCCCGACAATGGGGTGCTCCGTGTGGAAGCACAGAGGCCAGGCACGGGATCTGGGGTCCCCGTATCTGCATTGGCCCTCACTGTGGAAGCCATGCAAGCTCACTGCATTGACACCTTCAGTCTGGGCCCGGCTCGCTCACTGACCTCCTCCACCCTGCTCAGTGCCCACAAAGCTGACCCGCACGGAGCCTGCCTTCTGGACTCTCACACTAGGGCTTCTGACTGGGTTTGGCCAGTGGGGTGGAGACCAGAGGAAGGCGGGAGAGCCAGGTCTGGCGTTTCTTCCTCCCACACATGGCACCTACCTCCCCTGTCCCTTCTGTTGTGCAGTGCCCCCCACTCCCTCCAGACCGGAGAATCAGCTCCATTGCCTGCTTCTCCTACTACCCCTGCCCACAGCTTTACAAAAAGCCCCTGTAACGAAACAGCCTCAAGGTGCCCAGCCTGAATTGCAATAGGTCCTGGCTGACAGAGCCAAGATCACCACAGCCACAGTCATCTACCGCAACTGCAGCATAACTTGCCGGCGCATTTCCTTCGAGAAGTCTTTTGTGCATGTGTTTCATGTTGCTGGCACTGGCACTGGTATGCAGTTTCACACGGTGACCTTTCCTCACCGAGCCCTACGGCACGAACATTCCCACAGATAGTGTCCATCTGTTTCCAGGTGAACTTCTGGTGTGTGACACACAGTTCTCATTTAATCCTTGAAACAACCTCACGAGATCAGCATTATCTTTGGGGCTCTCTGAAGGAAATGTGTGTCTGGAGTTGGGGTGAATTATCTGTGGCCTTTGTTGAAGAGACAGAGACCTTCTACCTCCTTGGCTACTGTTCCACTCTCCTCCCTGGGTGGGAGCTAAGCTGGACGTCCTGCCTCCCATCCTGCAGCGTGACTGGTAAGGGAAGTTGCTGGGAAGTCACACAGGCTCGCACCTGCTCCTCCAGAACCCACAGCACGGATCCAGGCCACGCAGCCGGGGGTTGTGAGCAGACACCTTCACCTGAGCCAGGTGGCCACACTCCAGTTAGCAGGTGCTGCCAGATGCTTTCAACAGATCATCTCCCATCATCTCCCAAGAGCTCTCCAAAGCAGGTGCTATTGAATCACCCTCATTTTACAAAAAGAAGACATTCGGGCTCAGAGAAATTGAGACACTTTCCTATGATCAGGGAAGTAAGTGCCACAGGATCTCACGCCCAAGCAGTCGCTTTCCAGAGCTGCGCTCTCTGCCGCCGGCTCCCTCACCTACTTGCCTCCATCTTTATCAAGCATCCCCAAGGAGATGGGAGAGGGAGTAGGAGGAAAGTGCCTGGGCTGGGCTGGGTCTACAGCACCCCTCCGTGTGTGACAAGCCCCCCAGGACATCAGCCTCCCTGCCACCTCCCTCCCCCCAACACACACACACACACACACATACACACCCTCCCTCGGCCCCGCAAACAAGCCCCTGCTCATCCACCCAAGTGAGACGGCCTGGTGGGAAACGCACTCTTCAGATGCCTCCCCTGGGCTGTGGCCCACACGAGTGTGTCCTCTTGATGCCACACAGCCCTGTCCCTTAGCACGGGTTACCAAGAGAAGCAGTCTCTCCTTTCATACATCCCATCATCAAATCAGAAAACGACTTCCACACAATCGGTCTCGATCCAAAGCCAATCCCAAGAATGGTTTGCTAGCTCTTCAGCACAGAAAGCGTGGACATTAATTTTTGATTAATTAGCCACAAGGAGTTCAGAAGATATTGGGAAGAATTTTATCGTAGCCT